GTGTGCTGGGATCATGGACCCGTACCGTCACCCACAGCTTTGAAGAACTGTCTTTAGAGACTGGAATCTGCTCCCGAGCAGCAGAGAGCTTCCTGAAGTGACAGCTAGGCCTCCAGCCATGTAGTGCCCCGAGTGGGGACTTTGTAGGTAGATCCCGAATTGCAGTAGCCGAGGAAAGAGAATGAGGATGAATGTGGTGATTCTTCATTGTAAGCTATTCTGAAGCTTCCTAAATTCTGCCAACTACAATATAAGTAGAAATGAAACTTGAGTATTTGACTCATGTCTCGAACTCGGCTGTCCCTAGCTTGTCAGATTATTTTAGGCACTGAAGTTAGTTTCTTTCTTTCATTTATTTTTATTTTATGTGCATTGGTGTTTTGCCATGGGTGTCAGGTCACCTGGAACTGGAATTACAGACACTTGGGAGCTGATGAGTGCTGGCAATTGAACCTGGGTCCTCTGGAAAAGCAGTCGGTGCCCTTAACTGAAGTGTGTAGTGTGGTTGGTGACACAGAAGTGCTAGCTCAGCCCGAGTGTGCCGGTGTCAGCCACTGGCATTCTATTGGGATTTTATTTGCTTTCTAGACATTGTCATCCAAAATAATCGAGGAATGGATATAAACCCCCAAGCTGCCGGGCGGTGGTGGCCTTTAATCCCAGCACTCTGGAGGCAGAGGCAGGCGGATCTCTGTGAGTTCGAGGCCAGCCTGGTGTACCACAAGAATTCCAGGACAGACACAGAGAAACCTTGTCTTGAAAACTTAAAAAAAGAAAGAAAGAAAGAAAAGGAAAAAAAGTAACCCCCCCCCAAAAAAACCCCCAAACTTTCAGAATTCCACATAAACACCACATATAACAAGTAAATATTTAGGCTGTGCCTATCAGTGAAATGTAGAGGTCTTAAGCTGTGATCTGCCTGCCTGCCTGTCTCTCTCTGTTTATACAACTTTTTAAATTTTTGAGGTAGGGCTTCACGTATTCTTGGCGGTCCTCGAACTTGTAACGTAGCTGAAGATGACCTTGAGTTTCTGATCCTTCTTCCTCCATCTCCTGAGTGCTGGGAGGACAGGCACATGTGAACTACATGCCCAGCCCTCAACTTCTTTGTTTGCTTCAGTGTTATGCTTACTTCTTGATTTATATTTTAAACGAATATTCAGGTTGCTTTCCATTTCTAAAATTCAAATCTTTCAACCAAGACATCCCAGAAGGCATGTTTTCAATTGGTGTCTCCTTAGCAACTTGGGACGCTGACCTGGGTGACTGTGACTTATGAACAGCCTTCATAATGTTGACAATGACCTGGCACTTCGATGAGGACAAGAACCATCCTTCCCTGAAACTGTCCCTTCCTCCAGTGTCACTGCTTTGTCCTTTCCTTTGGTTCTGTTTAAAGCAGAGTGGGTTTTACACAGGGTCCCCTCTCTGCTCCAGCTAACCATGCTTGCTGCAGGGGACTGCTGCAGTAACATGTTTGCTGCAGCCGCAGTGATGAATGAACCTTGTCTACCTAGTCCTTGCCCCCTTCTCTTCTGAAGGTTCTGACCCCTACAAGAGCCTGTGTAGCTTTCTGGGTAACAGCCAGGCTGCATAAAGGCCTTTATGTAGGCCCTTGTTCCTGGGGCTCCAAAGAACAGAACACCTGGAGGTTCCTTTGTAAACAGGATTTAGCCGGCTGGAGTTGAAGATGCCTTAAACAAGGGGAGAGAATGAAGGAAGGAGTGGGCTCAGAGGGTTTTGGCTGGAGCATTATGTAGGGGAAAGTGCAATGTTAGCAGGACTTGGAGGAGGGGGAAGGACAAAGAGACTCTTGGAAGTTGTAAATGTGATTAGGTTTCCCCCTTTACATCACTTCCTATAAAATAAGCCATTTCTTGGATTTGGAGTGGCCAGGGATGAATTTCCTTGGTTTAAGCTTGCATTTCAAAACCCCCGCTCCCACTGGACTAGCTGTTCGCTTTTCACATTTTGCTGTCTCTCATTAAAATATATTTATGAGAGTGACTGTTGCACCAAAACTTGTAGAATGCTCCCACGAAGCCCAGACATCATTTCAGAAAGCAGCGCGTCCTAATCTTCCTAATGTTTTCTCTGTGAAGCAGTAAATTCGTATTTTGAATCTTCTTTCTTGGTTTTATGCTGCTTGCATTAACTCTTACATAGTACCCAGAATATTCAGCAGATATGGTTATTGTTTTCCTAAAGTGTCAATATTCAAGAGTGTGCAGATGAACCAAGGAATTTGTTGTATTCCTTGTGGATACACGGGACCGCTGTGGCAAGAGAAAGGTTCTATTTTATGTGTGTAAAAAGTATGCTTAAATATATTTCTCACATAATAATAATTCTTATTTGTAAAAAATAGTGGGAAAAAGCCACTGAGTTCCTAAGAACTAATGACAGCCTACTTGTAAGTAAAATTTGGCTTAATATTTTCAAGGCACAACATATATTATAAAAACATACATTGTGGCTGGTGGGATGGAGAGTTAGCCCCGCGTCTCTGGCCTTTAACCTACACCAAAGCTTTTGAGGAGGGGAGAGTGCAAAAAGTAACTTTCTGAGGTTCTATTTCTTCATTAATATTCTTTTCCAATAAAAGTCTTTGAATCCCAATGTAAAACATACCTTTGAAAGGCACGTTTAATGCAGGCACTAAAGCCTAGTGTGGCTTCACAGGGAACATTTTTAGTCAGCCACTGGGAATTCACACATGCACACACTGGGCACAGGCTGGTTCCTGCCCCCTTGCTGCACACACTGGGCACAGGCTGGTTCCCGCCCCCTTGCTCACTCCGCTCTGCAGGCAAGGGCAAACCACTGCAGAAGAGGCACCAGGTCAGAGAACTTACCCACAGTGTATGCAGACAGACACCAACATGATTCTGTATTGTGGCTGGGATTTCATCATTTCATGTCTCATCTTGGGTCCCACGAGACAGGTTGCTTTCCTTCCATCTCTAAAAATACCCCAGCTCTCTAAATTGCAGACATAAGACAAGTATTGTTCTAGGACCTCTGGTATAATAGAAGCGCAGCGACCTCTGGTCATAGAGATGAATTACATGGTACTGTACAGGCTGTATGGGAGGTAAGATCTGGACCCAAACTGTGCTGCTGCACTGTGGATTTAAAGTGGTGTTTCACAAAGTATAGGGGTCTGTTCCACCCTTAGGAAAGTTCCCCTGAGCCAGGCGGGGTGACACAGGCCTTATTCTCAGCACTGGAGAAGCAGAGACAGGTGGATCTCTGAGTTCGAGGCCAGCCTGATCTACAGAGTGAGTTCCAGGACAAACAGGACTACACAGAGAAATCCTGTCTCAAACAAAACAAAACAAAAACCGAAATCAAGCCAAACCAAACAATTAAGAAAACAACAAAAACAACAACAAAAGGATAGTTCCTAAGCCCCTGAGGACTTAGCAGAGTTAATCAGGTACAAAGTCAAGGGAGGATTTTGAGGGACTGGCTGAGTTCTCTACCTAACCGTTCATTTCCCCAGTGCTATAAGCTGTAAGGACTACCTCTTCTCCAACCTTGAGTTCTTTGAGGCCCTTTCTAATCTTTTAAACTTTTAATTTTTTTTTATAATTTATTTAACTTTATTTTCGGTGCATTGGTGTCAAGGTGTCAAATCCCCTGGAACTGGAGCTGCCATGTGGGTTTTGGGAATTGAACCTGGGTCCTTTGGAAAAGCAGTCAGTGCTCTTAACCGCTGAGCCATCTCTCAGGCCCTGGAGGCCCCTTTCTAACACTGGATTCCCATAAGTCATCAGAACACGAAACAGCAACATCAGCTGCCTGCCTCGGATGCCTAGCAACAGTGTGGACACCCTGTGACCATGTGGTAGTAACTACTTGTGATAGATACTACATGTAAAAGAAAATACTGTTTTAACAGAGATAATACCTTTGGAGTTAGGGGCAGGCTGTCCATGTTTTCAAAAGAGGTCTGTGGCTGCCAATGCCCCTGCAGCTGGTAAAGATACAACAAACAGTTCAGCTAAGCACAGGCAAATGGTACCAGCTGGGCAGTAACTAAGGCTCCCAGCTGCCGCCTACCTAGTTAGTCTTGTGTGTATGCAGCATATTGCTATAGATATGGAACTTGGAAATTCAGCAATAGGGACTCTGCTTGAGTGTGAATAAAGCCAATCAATTGCAAACTGTACTGTTATGATAATCTATGGAGAAGACATATGAAAGCAATTAAACGTAATGGGCGCGCGCGGGGGGGGGTGGTGGTGGAGAATCTTAGCTTCCATTGAAAGAGGCTGGGATAGCCTTTGAAGAAAGACGAAACTGAAAATAACATCAGGCTTTCCTTACTTTTAACGGAGCAACCATGCCATAAGTACAGAACCAATGGAAATGTACATGATTAAAAGCTTATAAAATGTATGCATATAATATTTTAAAAAGTATACAATGTTTACAACGTATACAATGTTAAAAATGTGAAAAGCTGAACATAAATCTCCTTAATATATGGCTGAAATCATCTTCCCTTGACCTGGAGTGATGCTCAAGGAAACTAAAAGGGGCTTGGGCGGGGGTGCGGCAGCAGCTGGACCCCATCACCAACAACCCGAATCTGTCTGGTTGACCCGCTGAAAAGAGGACCCACCGAGGGAAGAAAAAAAAAAGGTGGTTATTTTCCTTGTAATGTGAGCTTTTTAAAAAGCTGTGAACTTTTTACCTTGCTTCATCATGCTTCATTTGGTCAATTACTAACTGGATGGCCCCCAGACAGCGAGCGCGGGCTCCTTGAGGTTGCTATTTGTTTGTGGCTTGTGCAAAGAAGACACCGCGGGGTGCGAACTGATAGGGAGAGAAGGTGCGCGCGTGGGTCGCCTCACTTCAACACCACGAGGATCGCGGGGAAGTGCCACCACCGTGCGCTCCGGGTCTTCCAGCCTCCGGGCGGGCGCGCTCGGTGCCATTGACATGCAAATGCAACGCTGAGCGCGGGCCAATCGCGGGCGCTTCCTGGAGGATTACCTGGTGGCTGCGCGCCGCGAGCGCGGTCCCGTGCGTGCGCGACCCCGGCCAGGAGGCGTGGCGGTGCAGCACCCCGCAGGGACGGACGGGGCCCGCTCGCCGGGGACCCGCGGTGGCTGTAGCCGCCACATCCGGAGCGGGAGCCGCAGCCCGAGCCGCGCGTCCGGGCGCAGGGCGCGGCCGCCGCCCGTTGCTGAGCGCGCGCAGCCCCTGGCGATGCTCCGCGCGCCTTGGCCGCGGAGTTTGAACTTGGCGGCGGCCAGAAGCCCCGCGAGGCCGGGAGGCGATGGTGAGTGCAGGGCGCGGAGACTCGGGCAGGGGCGGTCGGGAGACTTCCAGAAGCCCGAGCTGGAGAAGGGCTCCCGGGGGACCCAGCCAGCCTGCTGCGGGCAGGTGGCGCGCTCCGAGGGGCTCCTGACACTCCAGGCCTGGACTTTCTCACCCGGGCTAGGGGTGGGGGTGGCGGGGGATGGGAAGGGTACGCTGGGCTGCCACTCCAACAGGATTGCTGGTGACTGACAGCGTGAAAACGCTTCAGGAGAAATGATCTGTGAAATATTTTAATTTTGATAAATTACTTCCCACCAGGGCCCCTGCGGAGTTTAGACCGCCTTGCCTTTCTTAATGTTACTGGATTGGTCCCTAGCGGGGAGGCCCCAAAGTACTTGGAGGGGTGCGCGTGCCCCTCCCCCACCGACTCCAGCGCCAAGGCAATGATTTCCAGGAGGGTGTTCAGCTGTCAGGTAGCATGGAAATGAAATTGCACCTGACGTTTGCTTTGCTCTGTGTTGCCAGAGAGCTAGCTAAAACTTCCTCGCCGTGGGGGCGGGGTGTAGTCCTCTCTTTCTCTAAAGCCTTTGGCGTTATCCCCCCAGCCCCCACCCACCCAATCTTAGTGTTGCCGCGCACAGATGTAGGACACGTTGCTTTCGGCTGAGCACCACATCCGTGTAATTCCCATGGGGAGATTGTTGTGAGCTATCTGGGTGCGTGGGCTTCCAACGACCCATGCTTTTTCTCTTCTCTAATAGTTTTTAAAGGCTAGTGGGATTACAGTCCCATTGAAAACACCTTCTCTTCAAGTAATTTAATCAGAAGCTGGCCTAGATTTCAATTAATTTCAGGGGCTCCTTTAGAAAAGTACTTTTTCCTGTGCTTTGTTTCTCTCTCATCACAGAAGTCTTCCCTCTTTTAAGATTTCTTTTTCCAGTCTTTAAAAGCGTTCTATGATTGTTGTGAAGAAGGAGATAGAGGGAGAAAGAAGCAAATGCAAAGTTTGTTTCCTAAGACCTGGTTTTTTATAGCCACCTAATCAGTTGAGAACTTCAGAGCTGCAGAATTTTACCTCCCATTCCTAATCTGTTTAGAAACAGTAGGAATTGACAAGGAAATAAATTTACTTAAAATGCTGTAACCAACAGTAACTCCTGCACATAGTGTCCAGGTTGAAATGGAGTTTATGGTGGCAATTTCTCTTGAATCAACTTCCCACATCTGTCCCTGGCAAATGGCTTCTGTTTGTACAGCCTGTTTTGTAAATACATCCCTTCACCAATACGGCAAAATGCCAAACACATGCCCTTTCCAGAGCTTGTAGCTAGGCTCATAAAGTTAATATTTTTATTGGTTTCTTCATCAGGACTTCCTTACCAAACCCTTGATAAAACCCTAGAGAAGGTTACCAAGGGATGCTGTAGAGAATTTACTTCCCTGGAGACTTTAAGAATAGGATAAACATCCATCTGCCTAGGATGGCTTCAGTGTGGTACTGTCTGAATAAGACAGGTCACTCACCTCTCCCAAACTCACGGTTGAAGAATTCTAAGCAAATTTCCATTTGCAGTGACCTGGGAACAAAGAACACTGAGCCAAAAATACTTGAGCATAGCTGAGGTGATGCCGTTTTCTGAAACAAGGCTATTTTGCTGAGAATGATTTTAGATCATGCTGAGACTTCCCAAAGCTTTTCCGTGGTGTCCAGAAAGTCCACCAACGATTTGATTCTAAAGAGTTGTAGGTTGAATAAGGAGTCAACTCTGTGGTTTCAAGGAAGGATTGATCTATGGGAAAGAGAAGTTTTTCCTTAAATGCAGGAAGAATACGTGTCCTTTTGTGTAGTGAACCTCTAAGGAAGACATGGCCGGAACCATTCTTACTCTCCCCACCTCACCCTACCCCCCCTTCCCCCCTCCCTCCCTGTTATCTATGCTGGCCTTGGATCCTGGCCTCAAAGCCACGTTCTTTCCTCAACTTTCCAGTAGCTGGGAGTTGGTACAGCTGAACACCCAATGCCGGCTGCGCAGTCTTCATTTTTAAGTCAGTTATTCTTTATATGACTTACATCTGGCTACAGTTTTAAGTTACCAGTTTTGACCAATGTGTTAAAGTTGTACATACTTATGGGGTGTCGTGTGATATTTTGATACTTGTATATACTGTATAATGTTCAAATCTATTCAGAAAACTATTATTTCCTTGTAGTTAAATTTTTAAGCCGGGTGGTGGTGAGACACGCTTTAATCTCAGCGCTCAGGAGGCAGAGGCAAGCTGATCTACAGAGTGAGTTCCAGGGCAGCCAGGGATATATGCAGAGAACCACCCCCCCCCCCAAAAAAAAATTAAAACACCACCATTTCCTTCTCAAAAGTTATTCCTGCTTTGCATGTTCACGTGGCGCTCATGGTACATTAACCAAAACCAAGTGGGCCTATAATGAGTGTTGGGGGACCCCAGCAGTGTTTCGGCTTTGTTGGTTCCTCCCAGAAGGTAGAATTTCATGACTCGCTTCTCCCTGCGCCTGCCTGTTTGACAGAAGTGTGTAATTCTAACCACTGTGTGACCTCAGCTGCAGTGACACCTTCCTCCCTTTCCTGAGTATCACTTGTCCAGGAGCTGCCCTAGTATTCCTGGAAGGTCACAGAAGGGCTCGCGATCTGGGAGAGGTCAGAGCAAAAAGAAGCAGAGCTACGTCTCTGGCCAGACAGTGTTTCGCCTTCCTGAGGGAGCAGCACCCCACCCCCACCCCGCCACTCCACTGCCTTCTGTTTGTTGTCGGGTTTTTTTTCCTTGTGTGCCCCAAACTAGTTTTCTTAGGCTATCATAACATCAAATAAGATTAGGAACAGAGGACATTTGTTTATTTAGCTAACATTTACCATGTGGGAGGCATCCTAGAAATTGGGGATGGGCTCCCTGCCTTCAGGGATACTCATCATATAGGAAAAATAAAACATGTTAATAAGTTACTGACGCCCTATGGGAGTAGAGTTCAGGGGTTAAGAACATAAGTTGTAAAGTTAAATATATACCAACCTGTGACCCAATATATTCATGCCCAGGTATTTATTCAAGATAGGTGAAAAAAATGTCTATTAAAAAAAAGTCTTGTTTAACAGTATCCATAGCGACTTGACCATGGTTGTCTACAACTGGAAATAATCATTTCTCCACAAACAAGAAGGCAGATACACTGTGGCACACCCGCACAATGGAGTACTACTCAGCAAGCAACAGAAATGAGCGGCGGCTGCTCAGGTCTTGACGAATCTCGGAAACTTTGTGCTGACTGAAGTCAGTTTATACATCAGCTTATTTGCCTGCTGTATTGTGACTTGAAACCTGAGCCTTTCACGTCCGGGACAAGCACTCTACCCCCGCTGTTGCTAGTCCTAACCACCGAACTAATCAGTTACAGTAGAAGTCGGTGGTTGCCCAGGAGATGGACTGGAAGGAGAACTTTCGGTGCTGATGGGAGGGTTTGTGTCCTCTTCTCAGAGTCACATAGATGTTTGCGGTTACTGAACCCTGTTGAACTGGACACAGCGCTAGGGAAACTAGGAGGGGGACTCCCTCCCTCCACCCCTGCCTTTAAGGGTGGCTGACGTTACTTTGGGCAAGTTATGATTTGCCTGGGGACATTGGACAGTACCTGCGCATGTCCTTAGGTGTAAAAGTAGCTTGGTCTGAGCTCAGTGCCTTGTTCATCTGTCTGTGTGCTGTGGTGAATGTGTGATTTAAAGTAAGAGTGACTTGAAAACCGCTTCATTGTCTTGGGGTAGGAAGGTTTTGTGGCAAAGTCCCTGCCACCCCCGGCATGATATGCCTCTCATTTTAGTGACGGTCTCTTTTTGCGTCTGTTGGGGATGCCACTGCAACGTTCTTGCCTTTCTGACCAACAGATCACAGGGGTCCACCCCTAACCAAGATGCTATTTGTAATTGATAGCCAGTGGCAAAGAGAAAATTCATTTTGAAGTGTCACTGGGTATATCAGCCACACACCATGTGGACCCCATGTCTAGGAATTGTTGGCCAAACCAGAACAAACTTCATGCTTTTGGGGGGTTTTGGTTTTTTGTCTCAGTTTTGGTGAGTTTTGTTTTTTGTTTTTGAACTTTTGGAGTTTCTCTGGGTAGCCCTGATTGTCCTGGGACTCAGTCTGTAGACCAGGCTAGCCTTGAACCAAGGGGTTCATTGAATGCTTGTGATTGATGGCGTGCACCACCACCATCCACTGGAAAATTTTCTTAATAAAATGGGAAAAAAAGATAACAGGGATTTGTCTTTAAAGTTACATCAACGAGAAGAAGTGTCTGTTAGGCAAACCCCACTTTTGAAGACTGGTTTCATGATAGTAATTCAAGGTGAATTCTTTCTGGGTTGAGGCTCAAACGCATCTTCCCAGAGCGCCTTCCATGATCTTTCTAGAAATGCAGGTGGAAAAAGGAAGTTTCTAGGTGCTGTATCAAATTGATACTTTGTTTCATTTTTTTAGCCTGGTCTACAGAGCAGGTTCCAGGACAACCAGAGCTACACTAACCCTGAGGTGGTGGCACAGGCTTTTAATCACACATTCAGAGGCAGAGGCAGGAGGATCTCTGTGAGTTTGAGGTCAGCCTGGTCTACAGAGCAAGTTCCAGGATAACCAGGGCTACATAGGATGGCTTATTTAACTTGAATTTTCAGTGAAAAAGCTTTTGAAAGAAGGACAACAGTTAACCTATTGAGTTTCCATTGTTTCTTTGAATCCAAGTGTTTGGGAAAGATGGTCACTGCTTTGCCAACTCCAGAGAGGCATTTTGTTATTGGATCGGTTTAACTCATTTAGTAAACATTTCTCAAACATGGCCTGGGAAGTCACCAGGCCCCAGGAACACTGGTGAATAGCTGGGCATTGTGCTGTGGGGCTTGTAGCTATTCTGAGCCGGGCTTGATCACGGGTCTGGTTCTGTGGGGCTGTTTCTCCGAATCGAGAGCATTGTCTTGGGAGAGTCTAGTTTTTCACGTATTG